GAGTCGGTGGAGGACGTAACGAGCCGCGGCATCGCCAAGGTTGCCGTGGGCATTCCTTTGGAGCTTGCATGCTTTAGGGTCCGCCGACCCTGGCGGCGTGTTGGATGGGAAAAGGAGGTGAAAACCTCCCCCTTACCCCCCCCCCACCCCCCCCCCCCCCCCCCCCCCCCCCCCCAACCCCCCCCCTACGACGAGCGCGTTTAAACCTTTCAACTATGCTCCAGCGGGGTCGGCGGCTTGAGCCGAAGGCTCTTAAATTTAGGTTTTATTTAGGGTTTATAACATTTAGGTTTCAGGGTTTAGGGTGTAGGCTTGAATTAGGGTCAAAAGCGCGAAAATCTGGGGCGAAGCTCTTGTAGATTCGTCACTGCAGCAGATATTGGCAGGCAACAATGGACGCCCAAACTCGAACCCGAAAAGCTCGAACCCTAAGCCCTACTAAGCCCTAAGCCCTAAGCTCACAAAGCCCTAAGCCCTAAGCCCTAAGCCCTAAGCCCTAAGCCCTAAACCGCAGCACTGTCAGGTCGGACCTATGCATCCGAACCAGCCCGGAAGTCCCATAGCGCCCTAAGCCCTAACCTTGCTTCCCAAAACCCTGATACGCGACAAGCCTTGAATCCTGATTCCAGCAACCACTACGTGCTTAAGAACCCCCCCCCCCCAAAAAAAAAAAAAAAACAATACTCCCTAAGATTACGGGAAGAATACTTTGCTCATGAGTTTTTTGGGGGGGGGGGGGGGGGAGGGGGGGTTCTTAAGCAAATAGTAGGAAACTCCTTCCGACAGGGCACTTCGGCATTGCCACAAACGTCGAATTGAGAGCCTCCTCGATGACCTAGTCGTTAGGACATTGGGATGAGGGACAACAAGGTCGGTCCGCAAAACCTCGTGAAGATAATGCCCAAATAGGATCCTCTTGAACTTAACAAAGTTAGGGTTTAAGGTATAGGGAATTAGGGTTTAAGGAACATGCCTATTTCAGGGGCCTACCTCGACAAGGGTTTAGGGTTTTAGGGCAAATGAGTACCGACCCCCGGGACGCCGCAGCGACGTTCAGGCGTAGAGAAAGACTGACCAGTTGGCCAAGCTGATGGCGGGGTAATGAACAACTCCAGCCTGTCGCGCGCTGACATTGGAACTGTGCAGTTCCCGACATCTCCCGTGAAGCCAGATAGGTGCGATGGGCTGCGATCGTTCAAGCACCACGCACGCGAGCGATCTTCGAAGGCGTCCAACACGAAGCCTCGTGTGACGGCCACCTTTTGACTTCAGCTGCCTGAGAGGGTCTGGCTGCGGCTGGCCTCTTTTGAAGGCTGGTAGCAGGCTACTGCAAGTACTACATCTACGACTACGTCCCGTGTCAGGCGCTGAAGCTCCAGGCATACTCGGTGTAAGGTACCCTTGCTAGACCTTGAACCTTACTTCTGCAAGAACCAAGAATATTCAATGATTTCTACTCAATAAGGAAACCCAAAAAGAACTATTGTCTAAGTAAGAAACCCGAAGACCTAAAAAACCCTACACCCTAAGCCTTAAGCCCTGAACCCTAAGCCCTAAACCCTAAACCCTGAACCCTTCGCTTCTGGATGGGTCCGCACTGATCTGTCGCATCAGCCCTAAACCCTAGACCCTAAAACTTCGTGAGACGCAGCAAGGCCCTCGAAGCGCATTCGGATGTAAACTCCAAAGTCTTGCCAACACCAAGCCCCGGCCCGGCACCTCAAGTTAGGTTCCGGGATTTGTAGGGGTTTAGGGTCTAGGGTTTAGGGTTTAGGGTTTAGGCTTTAGGAGGGATCTTTGACCTTTCGGGTTTCAATTCCATTTATAGGGCTTGTCGGAACCTAGGGCTTACAGGGTTCAGAGCTTGTTGGGACTTCTGGGGCGTCAGAGTTGTGGGCTTTAGGGCTCTTGGGAGTTTTGGGGCGTTGAGGACTTCGCTTGGGTTGTGACACCTGGCGAGCCGCCTTTGGTGGGTTTTATCTGCCGCGGGTTGACTCCGGGACAACGTGATCTCCGATTTCTGGGGTGTTTAAGGCTTGTTGGGTGTATTTGGGGGGCCATATTGGGTGTCAGCGTATCAGAACTGTAGGGCTGCTGGTTAGGGTTTTCAGGGTGTGATCAAGGTTACTTATGGCTTGTGGGCCTTTTGGGCTTTTGGGCTGTTGGGGTCTATTGGATTTGATTGCGTCTTTCTGTTACGGTTTGTCTTAAGTTGGTTTTTCTGAGGGTTTCAAGACCTTCCATCCTTGTTTCGGCATGAAAGCTCATGAATGATGACTATGACGAGGGTCCATGTAGTCCAGCCGGCACAAGTTCAGCGCCTAAGCCCTCAGCTCGCAGCTCGAAACCCTAAACCCTAAACCCTAGGCCCCAAGCCATAAACAGTAAACCCTAAACCCCAAACCCTAAGCCCTAAGCCCTAAGCCCTAATTAAGCCCTAAGCCCTAAGCCCTAAGCCCTAAGCCCTAAGCCCTAAGCCCTAAGCCCTAAGCCCTAAGCCCTAAGCCCTAAGCCCTAAGCCCTAAGCCCTAGCCCTAACCCGAAACCCTAAACCTTAGCCCTGAACCCTAAACGCCGGAAGCCGTGCTCCCGGCTTGCAAGCGTCGCTCAGTGACGCGGTTGCCGCTGCCCAACGCGCTCATGACCTGGGTTTGGGCTTGCCTGAGATACACAAACCACACCCTAAACTAAACCCTAAACCCTAAACCCTGAACCCTGAGCCCTAAACCCTGAACCCTAAACCCTAAACTCTAAACCCTAAACCCTAAACCCTACATCCTGGCTTGGCAATGCTAGGAGGGACTCTGCTGCGCGTTAAGTCCTGGGTTCGAACACCCTCAGCTCTGGCCCCGAGCTTCAGCATCTGATGAAGGGGTCAAATGTGCTTGGGCCCCTTATATGGATTTATGGCTTTTCGTTTAGAGATTAGGGTTTAGGGTTTAGGGGTTTAGGGGTTTAGGGGTTTAGGGGTTTAGGGGTTTAGGGGTTTAGGGGTTTAGGGGTTTAGGGGTTTAGGGGTTTAGGGGTTTAGGGGTTTAGGGAACACCCTATTGGGGGAAAAAGGAGGGTTTAGGGGGCCCGCGAGGGAGGCCGTGGGGCCAAACATGGAAAATGCATGGTTCCCTTGTGATCTTTTTGTGGGGTGTGTTCGGGCTCCCTTCACCTAGCTTAATTTAGGTTTACGGTTTAGGGTTTAGGGTTTAGGGTTTTAGGGTTTAGGGTTTAGGGTTCCTAGGTATCGTTGTTCGAATCTGGCAGCCCGGTAGCCTCAGAAAGCACGGTCTCGCGAAGCTTCTCTGCACTGACGGAGCCAGCCGCAGCCTGGCCAGGGCTTTTGGGCTTAGGACAGGAATTAGGGTTTAGGGTTCAGGGTTCAGGGTTCAAGGTTTAGGGTTTAGGGTTTAGGGTTTTAGGATCTAGGGTCTAGGGTTTAGGGTTTAGGGTTAGGGTTACTAGGGCTTAGGAATTAGGGCTTCGGGGCTATAAGATGAAAACCTTTCAGCTCATAAGCTCGAAGTGCTGGTGTTATGGCTTCGTGCCTACAGGGCTCTACAAGGAGGGGCAGGTAAAAAACATTTTTGACAGGTATTTTTTTAAAGAACAACCCTTACTATACTAACTACAGTTAAGGGACTTATATCCTGAGTAAGGATCCTTATAACCCAACTTAGGGTTCTTATAACTCCACTTACAACTAGGGGGGCCCCTCCTCGTATAGGGCTCTTGGGGCCACCCATGACTAAGAATTCCTCAGCGAGTTCGGGGCCTTGGGTGTTTTTTGCCGTGTTTGCAGAGGGAGTGGGGGGGGGGGGGGGGGGTGGGGAGTTGGCAGCTTTTGGGTTGATGCGTTACGCGGCATCTGGGGAAATTTACGGAACTATTCTCCGTGTTGCTTTTTCTTTGGGGAGGGTGAGGACCCGCCCGAACTAGGGGAAAAGCTGTGACATTTGCGATCTTGGAAGTGGAACCTAAACCCGAACCCTAAACCCTAAACCCTAAACCCTAAACCCTAAACCCTAAACCCTAAACCCCCTAACCCTAAGCCCTCCTAAGTCCTAAACCCTAGAACACGCCCCTTGAAGGCCGATCCAGCCTGGAGGTGGCCACGGAGGCTCGCGTGCGCGGAGCCGATGGTTAGGAGTCCGACGAGCATGCGGAAAGCTGCCATGGCTCGGAAGGGATATGAAGGGCCTGAAGCGAACAGAGAAAACACACCTGCTGGCGCTGAGATAGCTGCGGAAGAAGAGCAACTTTTTAGGCTCATGCCCGCCGCGTGAGAAGGTGCGCGCTAAGTTAGCTGCGGGCGTTTCAAGGGGGCTTTTGCCTTTGATTCTGGTTTTTTTGGTGGTCCCGGAAATCTTGCACACCCTCAATCGGGTTTGTGTTGGGCTTCGGGCGAATTGGGCTCAACATTCAAAGTGGGTTGCCTCCACAAGCTAAGCTCTGCACACCCCAAACGCAGAAAACGTAAGGGAAGCCACCGCCGTCCGGCCACAGAGACCTCAAACGACCCAAACCTCCGAGCCCTTGTTAACCCCTAAGCCGCTTAGCCTAAGCCCCAAATAAATCAATCTCGAAACCGTAAAGCCTAGGGTTTAGGGTTGAAGGTTGAGAGTTATAGCTTTGGCCACTGTCGAGGGCGTTTGGGTGGTCAGGGTTTAGGGGTTTGGGTGTTTAGAGATTTGGGTTTAGGGTTTAGGGTGATGTACTTGGGTTGTAAGGGAGTTTAGCCCCAGATGTACACAGAGTCGGAGACTGCTCAAGGACACCAGGACATTTAATTGCTTCATTGAGTTGGGTTCGGGACATGGTGTGGCCGATGGGCCTCTTGGGGGTTCGCGATATTCGGGGTACCTTATTGGGGTCCTGATCATAAGCGGATCCTACTCTTTGGGGGGTCTACATTGATGGTACCCTCGTTTCGTAAACCCCCGCCTTTGGGTGCGCAGTGTGGGACGTCGAAAGCCCTGAGCCGAGATACCTCAGCCGCAAAGCCCCGCCTCGTGAAGGTAGTTGCAAATTCCAGAGCTCAGCGATTGGCCGTGCGACTCGAGCGCCCTTGCGGATGCTGGGGATTGGGTTTGGGAATTCCCCCCTTGGCGAGCACTTCTAGCCGAACACCACCAGGCAGGTAAAGAGTCAACGCCGCAAGTCCCAAACCTTTAACCGCCTCATCTCTGAACAAAAACGTTGCGGACGATAAGTGAAGATCTCTCTAGCTAGGATGGCCCTGAACAACCCTCTAAAGAAAGACTCCCAAAACGGATCAAGCGACAGTATGAAATATTCCACGTGCCTGGCTGGTGAAGGATCATCGCCCATCACCCCCACTTCAAGCCCACCCCCAAAACCTTAGACACAAAAAGGGTTTAGGTCTAGGGTGTAGGATGCAGGGACGTTTCGTCCCTAAACCCTAAACCCTAAACCCTAAACCCTAAACCCTAAACCCGCAGGTATCAAAAACTGAAGGCCTATCGGGCCGAAGGCCCAACACCTGCGCCCCAAGCTCCAGTCTAAACCCTGAACCGTCGAACCCCAAACGCTAAACACCATATCTCTAAAACCCTGAAACGCTGAACCCTAAAACCCCAAAACCCCAAAACCCTAAAAACCGCAAACCCTACAGTCCTAAAACCCTATATAAACCCTAAACCCTACACCTAAAACCCTACCCAAGACCCGGGCTGGATCAGGTGCGCGACGTCCTCGTGAGGAATGCCTGCTATAGGGCTTAGGGCCTACGGGCCTAGGGTTTAGGGTATGGGGATTGAGGCTTAGGGTTTCGAGTGCAGGGTTTAGGGGGTATAGGGTTTGTGGGTATGGTGTATGGATTCGGGGCGCAGGCCCAAAGCCGGAAGTGGAGTTTAAGCAGAGGTATCAATTGTGCAAGTAGAGTTATGAAGTATGTTAAGTATGCAAGTAGAATGATAAGCAGCGTTTAAAGTTTTACAAGCAGGTTTAACAGGCCCGACGGTGGGTTACGACCGGTAACCATTATCAGTATGGAAACACCTTTTGACTGGGCCCATGCTCGTAGTGCTTGGGTTTGGGGAGAGCCCTCAACAATCTAAGACCCCTAAACCCTAAACCCTAAACCCCTAAACCCTGAAGCCTAAACCCTGAGCCCTAAAGTGCAAGGTTTTTTTTTTTGAGGGCAGCCTTTTGAAGGAAGGCTTGGGGGGGGGAGCCCCCCATGATCGATCCCGAGGGCCTCGACTCTCGGCTCTTCTCGACGCGAGCACGACCTGGGAAAGAGGGAGCCAATCTGTGGTCGCCGGACCAAAACCCTTAAACCAAAAACCCTAAACCCTAAACCCTAAACCCAAAGCCCTGGAAAAGGGGCTTGTCTCCATAATTCCTGCAAGTTAAGATCTAGTAAGCAACCCCGCGGCTTGAGCCTTTGCAGCATCAGGGCTTAGGGTTTAGCGTTTGGGGTTTAGGGTTTAGGGTTTCGGGGTGAGGGGTTTAGTCTTCAGGCGTCTTGGCTGGCAGCTGTAAGAATGTCGGGCGTGGTATCGCTGTCGCCCCAGACCAAGGACGGGCTGTCAGCCCCGCACCCACCCCCAGAACCCACCCCCCCCCCCCCCGCCCTAAATCCTAAATGCCACGCACCCGAACAAAGACCCAACCAACCCCTAAACAACATATACGCAACTTGTACTAAGGCTGCAGATTGTGGCGCTGAGTTTTCAGACAGGCTGTTCTACGTCTTGCAAGGCAACAGATGAGCGGTCCTTCTTGCACGAAATCTTTTCAAAAACGCTACCTACTTGGCCACCCACGTGCAACGCAAAGTGCAGGACCGAACAACAGGCATTTTTGAATTTTTGGCACTGGCAAGTCAGAAATGCAGAAAGGACTGTCGCGCAGACCTCAAAAAGGTGCACAGTTTAGATTCCCCCCCTTCCCCCCCCAGGTGAATCTAAACCCTAAACCCTAAACCCTAAACCCTAAACCCTAAACCCCGAAATCCTTTACAATACTACACAACCACCCTACACACTTTTAAGCAGCTAGCTAAACCCAAGAGTGACCTAGGAATGAAAAAGGTGCCCTTCTTGGTTCAAAAGGGGCTTGCAAGGGAACCCCAAACCCCCAAAGAGGGCACAAGGGCCTACTCTGAGTCTTTAGGGTTTAGGTTTCACGGGCTCTTACTGCAGTAGCTACCGCATTACGACAGTTAGCCATTACAGTTGCTGGGCCCTCATAGCTTAGCGGGAACTGGACACTCTACTAGAGACAAGCAACATCCTAGCCACGCAACCACGCGCAGCCCTGATGCCGAGACCAAACCCTAAACCCTCAACCCTAAACCTCATATCTCAAACCCTAAACCCTGAACCCTAAACCCCAAATCTCAAACCCTAAACCCTAACCCGAAGCCCTAAACCCTAAACCCTAAACCCTAAACCCTGGGGGGCCTGGTCCAAGAGCTGCTGGAGACTCGACTGGAAGCCCACAAGGCGCTTGTCCAGCGCTTCGATCTCCAGCTCCTGGTTTAGGGTTTAGGGTTTAGGGTTTAGGGCTTGGGCTGGGGGGTTTAAGGTTGAGGGTTTGGGGCTTGGGGGTTTAGGGTTGAGGAGTGTAGGCTTTAAAGTTTAGGGTTTCGGATAAAAACTTGGGGTTCTAGGGGTTTAGGTTTCGGGCTTAGAGGTTTAGGGTTTCGGGACTCGGGGTTTCGGGTTTAGAGGTTTAGAAAGTGTGGGCACCTGACGCGCAGCACAAAGGCGCTCGCTGAACCCACCTGGAGTAATATAGAAACCCCCACCCCCCCCCCCCCCCCCCCCCCCCCCCCCCCCCCCCCCCCAACCCCCCCCCCCCGTGCCTTGGACGCTTAACGTCTATTCTGCGCGTGCTCTTTGTTTTCTTGGATTCTTCCCGAAACAAATTCTGAAATTGGGTTCTCGTTTGAGGCGTTCTATCGGACCGCTTCTTGGAGGAGTTTTGACGTGAGGCCGCGGGGACGACACGGTCAAGGGAGAGGGTTCGGAACATTTTGCTGGGAGAGGGGCGTGGCGGGGAGCGTGACATTCCCTTGATGGGCAGGGGAGTGGGGACACGTGGATGTTCCTCCGTGCCCTCCGCGTTTGCAAGCCCTCCGCGCCCTCCGCGCCTCCGCGCCCTCCGCGCCCTCCGCGACCTCCGCGCCCTCCGCGCCCTCCGCGCCCTCCGCGCGCTCCGCGCTCTCCGCGCCCTCCGCGACCTCCGCGCCCTCCGCGCCCTCCGCGCCCTCCGCGCCCTCCGCGCGCTCCGCGCCCTGCGCGTCCTCCGCGCCCTCCACGCCCTTCCCGCCCTCCGCATGCTCCCCGCCCTCCGCGCGCTCCGCGCCCTCCGCGCCCTCCGCGCCCTCCGCGCCTTCCGCGCCCTCCGCGCCCTCCGCATGCACCCTCCGCGCCCTCCGCGCCCTCCGCGCCCTCCGTGCGCTCCGCACCTTCCGCGCCCTCCGTGCCCTCCGCGCCCTCCGCGCCTTCCGCGCCCTCCGCGCCCTCCGCGCCCTTCGCGCGCTCCGCGCCCTCCGCACCCTCCGCGCCTTTCTCGTCCAGGACACAGTGTGCTGATGCTAAGGGCGCATTGCGTCTATTCTGCGGGTGCGTTGCGTCTATTCTGCGGGTGTTTCCTTTGTAAAGTATTTGTTTACAAGGCACGCACGTGCAGCATAGCCTTTAAGTGTCCATCTTACCCCCCCCCCCCCCCCCCCCCCCCCCCCCCCCCCCCCCCCCCCCCCCCCCCCACCCCCCCCCCCCCCCCCCCCACCCCCCCCCCACCCCACCCCCCCCCCCCCCCCCCCCCCCCCCCCACCACCCCCCCCCCCCCCCCCCCCCCACCCCCCCCCCCCCCCCCCCCCCCCACCCCCCCCCCCCAAAAAGAAGGAAAATGGTATCTTGGCTACTCCAGGTAGCCGCCTTGCAGCAAACTTTAATTTGTTCAGCCCTGAACCACCAACCGGATGTGCGCACGGCGGTCCTTCGGGTTCAGGGTTTAGGGTTTGAGGTTTAGGGTTTAGGGCTGAATCCGAAACCCCTGAGCCCTAAACCCTGAACCCGAAGATCTTATCGAGCTTAGGATTGAAGGTCTCAGGTTTAGAGCTCCATCCACGGAAAGTCCTCATAAATTCTTTGTACTTGTTGCCCCGCAACCCTCAAACCTTGAGGGATGATATTGGAAAAAATATAGACTCCGCTTCGCCGACGCCCCTTTCCGGGTTTAGGGTTTGGGGTTTAGGGTTTGGGGTTTAGGGTTTAGGGTTTGGGGTTTAGGGTTTAGGGTTTCGGGTCAATACCTGATACACCGTGCCTCCATCCGATCCAGGTCGTCCAACTGCTTGATTCTGTTCGTCGCCTGTGTTCGTGCGACTCTATCCTGGACCCCTGAGGTGTGCGCTTGGTTTTGGGGGAACCCTAAACCCTAAACCCTAAACCCTAAACCCTAAACCCTAAACCCTAAAACCTAAACCCTAAACCCTAAACCCTAAACCGCAGCCTCAGTACGCACACCTAAGACTCTAAACTCTACACGCCCGAACCTGAAGCGTCCCCTCAGCCCACGCACCTCACTCTGCAAAATCCTAAAGTCCTCTTAGCTTCCCTAAACCCTAAGCCCACAAAAACTCTAAACCCGAAACCCTAAACCTTAAACCCCTTAAACAACAAACTCTCAAACCCGAAAAGCCCTAATCCTGGACTTCCCCAAGCCCTGACAGCCTAACACCCTAACACCCTAAAACCCTACGCCCTAAACACCCTGCTGCGCAGCCTGGATTCGCAACCATCGCTGCCGGAAATCAGCAGTAAACCTCAGGATTTACTTGGGTTTAGGGTTTAGGGTTTAGGGTTTAGGGTTTAGGGTTTAGGGTTTAGGGTTTAGGGCTTAGGGTTTAGGGTTTAGGGTTTAGGGGTTAGGGTTGCAGGGTTTGGGGGTTAGGGTTGCAGGGTTTGGGGGGATGAGAGTTATTCCTCCAGGGATTCTGAGGGGAAAAACGTTAGGAATCAGTCAGGCTTTTGCTCTAGATGCAACATGTTGAGTTTCCTGTGTTGAGCGTAACATCCTAAACCCTAAACCCTAAACCCTGAACCTCTAGTTGTAGCGAGCGTGTAGGCAGTCTAGGCTGAAGGCTGAACCCTTAAACCCTCGGCTTAGGGTGCAAGCCATCGGGCATACAAGGAGGGGCCCCCTAAGTATAGTAACTATAGATAAGGGACTTATAACCTGAGTTAGGATCCTTATAACGCAATTTAGGTCCTTATAACTCTACTTATAACTAGGGGGGGGCCCTCCTTGTAGTATGGTATAAGGTTTAGGGCGTAGGTTTTCGTACATACAGGTTTTGAGGGTTTCAGGGTATAGGGTGTAGGGTTCAGGGTATACGGTTTTCGGTATACCCTAAACCCTAAACCCTAAACCCTAAACCCTAAACCCTAAACCCTTGGGGTCGAGGGTATAGGGCCCCGAAGTCTGCAGGTTGGACGACTTGGCCCTGGGCTGCGCGGAGCCGTGCGCGATGACCATCACGCCCAGCAAGCACACGAGGCCGGCTACAATCCTACAGCGGTTAACCATTAAGGATCCATGTTTAGGGTTTAGGGCTTAGGGTTTAGATGTACCTTTTTGGCATATACTTGGGCCTTGAAGGGGTTCCTATACAGTAAGTAGCATGTTCTGCGTTCATGGGTTAGGATCTAGGTCTAGGGTTGGGTCAAAGTGTAGTCTTGTATGGATATGTGTCTTGGGAGCCCCAACTACACGCCATATAATCCTAAATCAACCCTAATCCCCAAACCCGACCCCAAAACCCTGAAACAGGCTTCAGGGACCAGTTTGGGGTGTACGACTTGGCAGTGCTTTCTGTGTGGACTTTGGACTTCGGGTGCGATCCTCGGTAGCAACTACCATACTACAGTCACGGCACCCTCTTGGAAGTTCCGTGTACTTTGGAATAAGGAACCCAGAACCCCAAACACAGTGCAACATGCTATCTACCATTGCTTCTTCTGCTCCAGGACTTTCTGTGCAAGGGGTCAAACCGTAGGGCCCGCAACCCCCAAGCTAGGGATAAGATCCCTTGTGAGTTCCTAGGGCTTAGGGTTTAGGGTTCAAAAGCCCTTGAGCTCTGAAAGGCCCCAAAATAATTTCAATCTGGGCTGAGAGTCTTTCCCGAAAGGGTGGCAGGAATCACATCGCCATAGCCGACGGTGGTCATCGTAATGATTGCCCACCACCTTGCTGCAGAAAAAGAAAGAGTCAACAGAAATTAAAACCTGCAGGGCCTCTTCCTAGGGTCCCCGTGTGGGGCACGGTGACCTCTTATCCTAGGAGCTAAGCGCATCCCCCACAAAATGGGACCCTGAATTCGAGAAACCTCGAACAGACCCCAATTCATCACATAAGCCTGTACCCTACCTGGAGTTTTTTGGGAAATTGGGATCTGGGGTTTAGGGTTTAGGGATTCGGGGTTTAGTTTAAGGGGCACGAGTTCCATCTGGTGGTGTTGAAAAGCGTCAACCCTAAACCCTAAACCCGCCCGCCACCCCACTCTCTTGTCTTTTGGGGAAGGCGGGCGCTGGTCGAGCGCTCAGTGAGACCCTGCGAGGGAGCCCCAGGCGGGCGACCGAGCTGGCCTCCAGGCTGGCTTACCCTCCAGGCAGGCACAGGCCGATCACCCTAAACGCAAGCTGTCCGC